CTTCGAACCAAACTTTGGTACAGTAAGCTGAATATGTGAGCAACTTTCTTGCCAAGCCAATAAATCACATCAGAAAATTATAATTCCAACGCGACCTTTTTTATGTGTCCATGACCAGAGGGTAATATATAAAATATGCAAAGTACTCTGCTCAGGGCGGGCATGTCCGGCAGATAATCGCGATTTTAGAACTTAGGTTAACCTTTGCTCAACCTCATAGGAACTTTCCGGCTTACGTTATACCCTAGAAGTGCGGTGAACGTACGTATCAGGTTCAGAGCCAAGCACTTTGAACTCGTAACACATATATAATTCCGATTAACGGTCGTGATGAAGGTTCAGTAATTGTTTTTAATATTGAGACTAAAACGCCTAAGTGTCGCATAGTAACTTCGCGTGCTTCTCAGTCAATTTTTTGCTTCAAGCTTGACCAGGACGATACGTCGGGTTTTTGCTCTAATTATTATGACTTCAAGAGTTAGACAATACATGAACGGACGGAGGCCAACTAAGGAGGACGGAGGACAACTAAATCAAATTCTACGTGGATAAGAGTAAGGTCTATAATATGGCAAAAACAACATCATCAGTTTTCGTCATGAATCTGCGATCCCTAACACTTACGCATACATAAATTTTCTATAAGAAACAAATTTTTGGTTACGTGCCCTTCTGTTAGTAGTGTTACTCCCAGACGAGCTGGCTTACCTCCAAAGGTAGAAAGACTTACTTTCTTGAATTTCCGATGCGTCCTTTTGAATGTTAAGAACACTATAAGAGAGAAGAGAAACCTGAAGATTAAGCATTCGGACTACGCTCATTTTCTGACACCTTTTGTATTCTCCAACAAAGAGCAGACACTGCTCAATTTTCGGTTTCCCTTCAACGGTTCGCATCTTTGAAAATTTGCAATCGCAAAAATTAATATGTTTTTTTCTTTGTTATATTGCCACTCGGTTAGGGTATGGTCCTGTTTACGTGAAACACGCTGACTGTCATCATGAAGTGAGAAAAGAAAAACAGCTAGAGAGGCAGCGCAGCTAGTAGATGTGTGCCCAAACGACTCGCATTCGCTATACTTAGGGCCAAGTAAGTTTTACTGACTTCGTGAGCTGTCGTGTAGCTTAGTGGTTAGGACGTTCAACCGAAAGACCCAGGCTCGATTCGTGATGTGGTAGAAGAACTCTTTTGTATATCGCTATGCGGCGTGAGTAGTAAAATAAAACTAATGGGAATTGCAAGAAGTCTATCATCGTTGCAAAGCTGGACCGTCATGATTAAAGGTTGCGCCATGGTAATTAAAATTATATGAATCCCATAGTTCGGACCCTTATCTATCGAATAACAGAACCCGATAACATGGTACTCTTCATAAAACCAACTTATTTGAGTTAACGTTTGATTCATTAATAACATTTTTCATTGAAATATATTCACTGACAACTCGAAAAGTTTAATAAATACAATTAAAAAGTATGACTGAAATGGAAAAGCGAACGTATTAAAGCGAGAAAGATCATTTGTTTTGCTAAATGCTTTTGTTAGGTCGATTATTGCCGTTCTGCGTAAAAACATTTACACAATAATGTTTAAATAGGGTAAAAAAATCCGTGGAAATTGTTGCAATTTTATAGTTAAACGGCCATAAACAATTTTATTTGCGTTTTTTATTTTCTATTTTTTTATTTTTTTTAACGACATATACTCACACATGCATGTGAAAGTCGTGTATTTGGTAAGTAATAATACAATATGTATAACAAAAACAAAATAAAAGAGAAAAACTGCATATATTTGCCTCGGTAGTATACATGAGTGCCTGTAAATATGCAATGGATTCTATTTTATTCTTTATTTTTATTTTTATTTTATTTATTTTTTTTTTTTGCCTTTGCTTGAGTTTTGTGCAGAAGTGTATCTCTCTGCAATGAATTTTATGACACAGTTGAGTTGAATTTATTTATGAGACTATACATACGCACGTAGAGCTTGTCTCCCTCTCTTGTTAAACATGCCATAAAAGTAATATTCGTACACCTCAACACCATTCCATTGAATAGAAAGAAAAAAAAAAAAAAAAAGAAGCATAGCAAAAATCGACACAAAAACTACATGCACGTGCACATATTTGTATTATGCATTATGCATGCGTGTGTTTAAGTGTGCAGTGGCAGTGTGTTTTGTTATGTGTGATTTAAGATTTTTATGCACAGATAAAAATGTCATATTGAGCAACCATATGACAGGATGTTATTCAATTGTATTCATCATATATTGTATATCAAATGTAAAAAATTTAGTTGTGCGACCTTTATGTCAGGTGGAATAAACGCATTCATATGCGCATAGATATCTGCATATATCTGTGGATGTAAACTTTATTAAAATAGTTTCATTTTCTTTTTTTTTTATAATATAAATAAATTCCCGGATGTTGGCAACAGCTGACTCTAATGGATTCGCCTTTTTAACGACAAATTATCCTTTATTTATAGATTAAAATGAATACAAGAACACTAATTAGATGCGGCATAGGCAATAAATTTATTTCTCATCATACATTCCTTACCAGGCAGCTTCAAAATATCTAATCAAAGAAAAGGAAAGAAAATAACAGTAAAGTTGATGGTCAAGATCAAGATTAGAGATTGATCTTGGTTTAGCTAAATAGCTTTTAAGTCATTTCACTACAAAGCTTTAATACTTAATAGTAATAAAATAGCCTTCGTTTACTGTATATAACAAAGGTGAACATAAGTGAGAGTTCAAAGATTCATATTTTTTCTTTAACCACAAAGCTCCCTGCGAAAAATAAGTTTTTGTAGGGACGAGTAATAAGCGAAAAGCTTACTATCGACGCATATTACTTACGTTACTCTTTAATATATTATTACTATTATTAGTTTGTCAAAGTCAAATTAATCAGATGAGAAAGCTAAAATTAAAGCGTTATACTTATAGAAGTGAACATATATGCACTTCTTTGTTTTTGTACGACATTTAAAACATCTTAATCTTCCTTCGGAATCCTTAACCTTGCACAGATTTATGCGCATTTTCGCATCCATCAACGTTCGTATCCAAATTCAATCAAATGTGTAACGTAAACTGTTACTGAAGAGTACTTAGGTTAGAAAGGCTAAATGTTTTACTAATTTCAAGCAAGATTCATGTTTCTCGCATAAGCATTCATGTTTTCTCCAGAATTGTTGCAATCCATAAAGTGCGAAACTTTATGATGTGCTCTCCTGGTGCTAATGGAAATTCAATTATCTGTTTCCGCAAAAATCTAATTTTGCCGGTTAATATTCATTTTGAACATTATTTTCAAACAAAGCTGCCGAGCTAAGCCATATACCGAGTTAAGTGCTGCAAGCGGAGTAAGAAAACTAACAGTGTCATTTATAATCACATAATATATTCTATGATTTCAACCAAAACAAAGTCGGAGTCTAGAATAGAAAGCCTTCTTTGAGCTCATCGTTGTTTACAATTTAACAAATGCAGAAATTATCATTGCGCGTGGTTTTCTTGGAACCAACTCGTGTAAGTGGGTGAGGCAAGGTAGGATTCACTTCCCTTTTACAGAGAAACTTCAACTTCCCAATAGATTTCTCGTTGCACTATGAAATTGCATTGCTTTTAAAACTTCTGCTAGCGTTGTAAGACCTTAGAGTATATTTTATTTTATATAATTATATTAACGCCTTGACGTTCAGCTGCTGCATTAGTGCGAATGGATTAGTGAATTGACTTTAAACTTTCCACGAGTTCATGTAGACTTCTTGATGTGTGTGATGCAGCGAATTTTTCAATTAGCCCTACTAATACAGACGAATGCAAAGTAACATATATACAAAGTAATAATCAGATCAACAACTTTCTTTATATTTACAGCCGTAAAGACCCCTTAAGATTCAAGAATGCTGCTGCTGTGAAATGTGATTAAGGAACCTTAGAAGGCCAAGTTATGTTTCATTTTTCCATTATAGTTTTACCGTAAGTAGTTATAAAATATATAAACTAAAGTTTTCTCAGTGAAAATAAAAACATGTTAAACTACTTAAATATTTTAAATAAATATATATGTGTATTTTAACATTTGTATGTTTAAATGTTTTTGATCTTTAAATATATAGTACATTTTAACCCTAAACAGGTGAGACTTCATATGTTGGAGAGCAGATTATATTTTGGATTAATTTGCTATGAGAATTAACTGCCAATTTAGTCTTCAAGTTCGGTATTCACAAAAGGTTTTACAATTTGTGCACTCATGTTGTTTTTGTTTTTTTTGTCAAAGCTCATCATTTTTTCTGCTGCAATATTTCCAAATACCATGCATATCTGATTAATAAATTTTAATTTTAAGTCAATTTTAAGCTCCTAATTTCCAATGTTAAGTCAAGTGTCTTATCAAAAACATATTCTTTTCATTGTTATATAGTCACAGAACACACACATATCTATATATGTAAATATATAGATATATATGTATTTTATATTCATCCTGTTAAAATGTTACTAAGACCGAGAAAGACGCTTTGGTGACCTCATAAACGATTGATCAGCGTTAAACTCCGAATCAATTTAGCATGTCCGTCTGTGCGTCCGAGAAATGTCTTGGTTAAGCGTTCTTCTAGTCACAAAATTATTTGTACATTTATAAATAATTTCACAAATTGCCAAGCATCCACTTACAAAAAAGACAAGAAAATGAGAGAGAACTTTAAAAATTTCCATCTGAAAATAGTTTACGATATAGGAAGATAAATAAAAGAAGCAAAAAATTATTGTAATACAAACACTACAAGAAAAATTCATCGTTTGATGAAAAATTCAAAAAATTGGGGAATACGTTATATATATGCTTCACTAGTGCAAAACTGGTTAATAATGCGTACATAAACGACGGATTTTTCAAGAAGTCTCTGATAGTTCCTTTTAAATTGATAAATGATAGTAATGTGTTTTGTTTACACATATTCGTTAATACATACCTTGTGCATACGTCCATTCTAGCAGAAAGACAATGAATATAAAACGTATATCCATTTTCTTCTTCTACTTATTTTCTAACAATATATATATATGTATATATATATATATATATATATATAAGGAGTAGACTTGCTGGTTGTAGTTAGTTGTTATTTGTCTGTGGGAAGAAGGGGACGGTTAAACGTAAAGATGAGGGAGACGATAGTAAGAAGCGCTTAAGGTAAAACCACTGAAATAACTCCTGGTAAAATAAAACGTAATATTTATTGTACGGTTGTTGAATATTTGTTGTATGATGAGCTAGGTGTGCATAGGAGGGTGAGAATATGATTTCTTCTTATTCGTATGTATATGTATATATATATATAGATATATATATATATATGTATATAACTAACTATATATACATTTTTTAGTTTTAGTTTTACTTAGTTTTTTATTTTACATTACAAAGTAAGGTATGATTTTCTTTTTTGTTCTTCGTATGCTTAGACGCACTTGGAAAACATCAGGAAATTTAGCATGACTTGGATATATGAAAATGAATTTTTGTATAAATGTATGATTTTATGATTTCAAATTTAAAAAATTCTTGTAAATATTTAACTCTCTTCATAGTTTTATCCTTATTTATGTTAATTTTTGGAAGGTGGGTTTAGTTTAGTTTAGTTTAGTTTAGTTTGATTGCGTAGATGTGTAAGAAGGCTTCTATACTTTATTAGTTCATTCTATCGCCAATTTCCAGAATTTAAAAGTGATTTAATTTTTATTAAGGACTTCCGAGTCCTCTTTGCTTCTTAATTTTTTCCTTTTCTTTAACATATCTTTGATTATGTTCATGTCTTTTTGCAGGCGCTTATCTTTGCAGAGAAAAAAACATAATAATAAATAGAAAAATGAAATTTATTTCATTTCCTTCGATCCCTTAATCAGGTCTTGTCCACATTATTAAAGGCTCATTAAATGACGTTTTGCCAAAATCTTTTATTATTAACATTTCATTAATTTCGTTCGAAGCCGTTCACATAGAATTTCTCTCTCTACGCGTTGACACTTTTTTCAATATTTTTCCGCATTCGCGCACCCCACATGCACCCTCGTACCAGTCAATAACAACACATCGTAAAATAAATTTTTTTTTTTTTTTGTTTTTTATTTCCTTAAGTACACTTCAAATATTTACTTCTTTCCTCCCTGCGATATTTCGTCGTAGTTATCGTTTTTATTACACACATTTCTTTATATTTTTTTAATATTCATATCACATAACACTTGAACTTCATTCTATACTCCTATCTTCACTTCGTTCACGTTAAACTTTTTTTTGAAATTTTTAAAAATTTATAATTAAAAGGGGAAAAAAATATAAATACTTTTTTATTTTTTTGATTTCTCTTAGCAACGTTTACCTGTCCGTTAAGTGATACCGTTAACGTCTATAATCAAAGCTCAACTGAATTTTTGTATCCTGCCAGGAAACTAGCCAACGCACAGGAAATCTAAAGTTATTTCTATCCATGCATACATATGCAACAGCAGAAAATGTGGTGAGTTTCTTTCTAAATAAATTTTCTGTTATAGTTGAATATTGTGTGGGTGGCAAACACATTTCGGAGTTTTTTATACGAAGTTCATTGCATGCGTTTAGTGCAAGTGTTCGGAGTTGCTTTTATTTATTACTTGAGCCAAGTTTGCTTAAGAAATGTAGATAAATGCGACAACTACAACAAAGCAATACTTCAATTTTCTTTTTAAAAACAACTTACATAGTAGCTATAGTAGCATACAGCTCACCATTACCAAGTATGCCACGCCACTTCACTTAATAGTGTTATTTATATAACGACTTTTCAAACTAAGGCCTTCGTGGTCGAAAAATTGGCCCAATCTGATCCATTTCCGATGGTATTCGCCCTCCGGCCAAAACACATCAATGTTTGATTACAATCACTAAGGATTGTTGACCTCTATATACATTATATTGCTCTATATTATTATGTTTACGTTTAGCATACATATTGAAAGTTGTTGCTTGCACTCTTGCATTTAACATGGGCTAGAAGAGTCAAGGCATACGCCATCGATACAATACAAAGGTAGCAATTTCCATATATATTCCATTGACAGTCATACGCTGTACAAAAATAATAAAAGCTGCCACTTCCATCTAGTGTTATTATTAAATTTTTTCTGTTGTTTCATTTTTTTTTTTTTTTTTTACGATAAAGAGGATTTAACAACAGTCTGAGCTACCTACAAATGTAATTTTTTTTTATTTCTGGTGACTCTCCCTTGTAGCAGAATATTACGTACATAAATAAATAAATGAATAAAAAATTTGATTGGGAAGTTTTAATGTATCCACTATTTGAACTTGGACCAGCCAGATTATAAATTTTCCTTTTCACAACCTTCCGAATCATACTGTTTTCAAAAGGGAATTAAGCAATGAACGTATTTTTTATAAAACCAGCTATCGCGCCTGTTTCTTAGATGCAAGCTTCAAGGCCACGGGGATGAGGTATCCATCAAATTTTATTTGCTAATAATTGAAAATTACAGAATCAAGTAAAACTTAAGTAAAAAACTTAAGTAAAATTCGGAATATCTATATTCCGAAACATGAAAGTATCTGCGTTCTTTGGCAACATATCCTTAAGTGAGTATGTAAACTTTGTTGAGGTACACGTACGCTCTGTATTTTCCTATAATTTTTGCCTATAATTTAGTCATTTGTTGCTTTTGGACCGGCGTAATTGGTGAGCATGCGTTTTATCGTGTTACTTAATGCCGGTCTGAATTCCTATACTTATATTTACATGTAAAAACTCTTTCGCTCTATCTCTCATAGACTATAGTACTTCAACAGTTATTTACAATAATTGCTTTACGTTCTCTCATCACTACATATTCTGTTTTACTCTTCACTCTATATATACACTTGAATATTTATGCTCTCAATTATCGTAATAACTTTATAGAAGAAAAACACATCAGGCATATACACATGCACACATCTTTGCAATCTGGTATATAATACAAATGCATCCAGTATGGAAAGAAAAAAAAAAAAAATGTAAAAAAATAACGCAAAGACAAAGTTAAACTTGGACTTGTTACAACGACGAACAGTAAAGAGATATAAAGAGGCTTTTTTCACTGATTGTTTTCTTCTTCTTTTTACTTATTTTGTTACTGCTATGGTTTTTGATTTGTTTTTTATTCTAACACATGTGTACCCACATATTTTCATATATATATATATATATGTATACATATAAATTATACGTAGGATATATGTAGGAGTTTGCTGAAACGGTAGGAATGTATTGCCTACCTTTAGGCATTTAGTAATATATAAAGTTATGTGGCATATTTTTTTTTTTTGTCTTTACTCTTCGCGCATATAATGGTGGTAATCGTGGTAGAGTTCAATGTTGTTTGGGGGCAATGCTCTCTAAGAAATGCTTTCCTGTTCGCTTTTCTATACATATTTATACACAACTATGTATAGGTGTATGTTAAAAGATTTAGTTGAGCGACATTAACTTTGCTATTAATACCCTTGTAGTCGTAACTTGAACTTCATTAGCATTAGTTTTTTTCATTGTCTTCGTAGCGAACAGTCATAATAGTTCTTAGCTTTAAGCCATGACGGGCCATCATTTCTTGTTGACTTTTAATTTTTATGTTTACAGATTAAAATGGTGTTAATTGCTATCATTGCCTTCGAAATTTATGTTTTCAGCTTTCATTGCAGCACGTTCTCCTCCACTCTTCCAATACCAATTTATCTTTATGACTAAAGTTTAAAATCTTGTTAATAAAATAGCAAAAAAATAAATAAAATATAGAAAAAAGAAGAAAAGTAAAATGAAGACCTAAGGTTCTGTGACCTGATTTTACCACCGTTATATACACAATTACGTTATTTTTTTTGTATAAATTTTCTTGCCATCTTATACAGGATTCTATCCTTATATAAAACCATTGAACTGCACCATCATTCATTTAACTTGTGTGTTGAAGTGCGGAGGTTGCCTGCGATAATTTTGTTGCTTGTCATCCGCTTAATACAGTACAGAAAAACCAAAAAGAAGCGAAACACCAGAAATATGAATTGTTTCCCTCCCACTCAAGCATGCTTAAGAGAATAAGTACGATATGATTATAACGTCTTAAAGTTGCCGACCTAGTAATGAAATATTCAAGCCCGCACTCCTTCTCTCGTTTGAGCTTCGCATGCTACTTAAGATTGTGGTTGGTAAGATTGCTTATAGGCATGTAAGTGTGCGAAACTAAAGAACGTTGAGTGAATGATAAATTACCTACTTCATATAAAATTAATAGCAGCAGTCTACGCAACCTAAGAAAGACAATTGTTCATCACATTTCCGTATCACTCGTGAGATGAAATCCATAATCCACTTTTCTACGGAGCACCCTTACGTACTTCTGTAGTCCTGCAATCAGATGAACACGATAAGATATTATTAAATTAATGCAGTGATATCTGCCATTGCTTTAATACTCATACGCCTTTTCCGGTCTCTGAATTACAGTGAAAAAAGATGAATGCGAATGATACGAACAAGATCCTCCAAAGTTCAAAAGAAGAAAAAATTTTAGTTCATACTTGCAAAAATTTTACTCTTCAATCGATGCGGCAATATATTGATATAACGGACAGATTGTAATATCCTATTTACTTTTCTCTCTCTTCCTCCACTGTTCGTAAAACAGAAGAAAATGAATTTTTTCTTGGTTATTTACTGTCCTACTGCGTCTTAAAATGCAATTGTGCTTTAAATATATTATATGCTGGTGGTAAAAACAAAATGATCGACGTACCCTTTTAATAGCCATAACTGATGAATAAGGGTATTATCGTCGAAGAGTCGTCAGGCTTGTAACCACCTAAGAGTTTGCTAAATGTATTAGAGATAAGAAGTGTCGAAAAGGAAGAGGCAAAGGCAAAGACGGTTTAGAAACAAATCCTCTTCTCCACTTAGCTAGCAGTTATCTATTTATGAGGGACATAAAGGCTTCAAAGCTTAAAATCTGCTACAAT